CCCTAAGGCCTGCTGCCTCCAACCTAGCAATATTACTCTGGCTGGGCGCGTGCCTCCGCCCGCTCCGCCCCGCGCGCCGGGCCGTATCGTCTGCGCCCTGAGCGCGTTACGCGCCCCGCCCCGCCCGGCCCCGCCTGCCTGCACACAGCAGCAGCTGCACGAGTGTTTGTCAACACATGCTTCCCGGAGCGCGGCGTACCATGGCATGGCGTCACGCGAGGCACGGTGCACCGGCCGAGCCGAGCCATCAACCCCCAGTTAGTCCTCAATGCTCACTTTGTCCTCAGTACGTACTTAGTCCTCAGTCCTCAGCCCTATACTTTTCTCGCAGTACTTTAGTCCTCGGCCCTCTACTTTCCTCAGTCAGTACCTCAGCTCTCTGTACTTAGTCCTCAACCCTCAGCACCTCAGCTCTCCGTCCTAAGTCCTCAACCCTCAGTACTCGGTCCTCGACCCTCAATCCTCTCCGACAGTTAGCAGTATAGCAGCCCTTGGCCCTTATTCCTCAGCCAGGCTGCTGTGGCTGCGCTCGACCCGGCGGCGCCCGATCAATAAACGCATTTTCCATGTTTTATATACTTGACGGAACTGCAGAAAATCCCCTGCATGTTCATCCTTTGTATAAACGTACACACCAGGGTGTGACGTGATTGATGCCTGCTGAAAAGTTGCGGTCGCTACTGGCTTGCGAGCATCGGATAGCTGCATAACACTTGGAAAAGAAATTCCTTAAGACATACAATTTGATGGTAAAATTGGCGACATCTGTATTTATTTTTACCGGTACACTTAAACTATTTTGTTTATTGCTGTCCAAAGGCTTACACTCTTTCAGTAATGAGTAATGTTGGTATAAATATCTCAAGTCATGAGTAATGTTCCGAGCGGAAGCGGCCGCTAGGCCTACGTTTCACGCGGTTTCACGAGAAGTGTCGGGCTTGATGTAACGCGGCACTATAGACTGAGTACAGCTTTGGCCGTTTCGCTCAGCTTCGCTGGGTGGGTTCGCGGGTCGGTCTGAGAAAGTGGCGGGCAGCTTGGGCTTGGGATGCGAGGCGGAACGGACGTCGGCACACCTCAAACTGCAACATCGCGGTGCAGGAGATCACAGCTATCCCCCCCTTTTTTTTATTTGTTATATTTTGTTTGAGCCGTCCGTTTTTTTGCCGTGGTATGTCATCGATACACGGAGTCGTATCTTTCAGTTGAACGATGTTGGTCTTTCTATCTAAGCTTGGCCCGCAATCGGTGCTTTGATGACCTTGACCCTCCTCCCTCCTACCCCCACCCGTGTACATCGCCCAATTAGATATATGGCAGTATATATCAATCCATTGATGCCAACGTTTTAACTTTTCATGTGCTGCAAAATTAGAGTAGTATTTGCAAAAGATGACTTCCAGAGTTATTTGAATAGCTGACTTTTGACATTGATCTTGAGCTCACTTTTATTTCTTCAGCAACCGTTAACAACCATGGAATGCCTCTAAGAAAGCGATATCTGTCATTCTCGTCTTCCCACGGGTGATAAAATTCAGCTTACGATATCGTTCTAGTAACTTGACTTCTCGACCTCTTGGCTACACTGTAGTCAAACGGTTTCGAGAAGCTTTGTAATGACTGATGATGGCTGATTTAAATGCAAACCGTAATTGAGAAATTAGTATAACAAAAAATCCTATCTAATCTTTACCGATCTAGTTGTGCCGCTCGTTTGCTCGTTTTGTATGTGAACCGCTATTGCGGAAACACGTAACAGACGAATCGAAATTACTTCTTCCAAGGCGGTGGTGTGCTCTAGCCATAACGCCCCTGTTTCACATAACCCATGCGTGTTGCGATATGACGCTCTGTCATTAGCATGTTGTGCTAGGCTCTGCCCTCTATGCGAATGTGATGGTCCAGTTGTGCTAACATTGACAATTGCTCTTTTTTTTGTTTTCAGGACGTTGAAATAAAAATCAGCAACCATGGCGTTCGCAGGACTAAAGAAGCAGATCAACAAAGCCAACCAAGTAAGATGAATACAAAAACAACTGTTCAAATTTTTCGCGGGGAACGCTATGTGACAGCTTCTGGTCGGTCAGCTGGGCGGGCGACAAGGTCCAGGGTCCGTCCGGCCCCTTGGCGCGACAGGCTCCTCTCCCCCCGCCCGTCACTTCCGCTGGCCCGGCCCGGAAGTCCCCAATATCACGCTCGCCGGCTTCCTTGGCGGGCCGCGCGGCGCGGCGAGACCGCCAGACGGAGACGGGACGAAGATGCCCGAGCGAGTTCTGCGACCTCCAATCACCTGCGTTTCGTCCGCTCGCGCCCGCGGGGGAGTGCGGGTTCAAATTGGGCCGGGCCGTCCCATTCTCACTGACAAACTAAGTGTTCACCTGCTTAAAACACTTGTAAGTGTGCAACTGCAAGTTGAATACTTACAGGGTGTGCAACTGAAAGGTGAATACTTGCACGTGTGCAACCCCACTGTGAAGCACTTCCTTAGATTGAACGCTCACTGTGTATAGGAAGTGCTCAACCTAGGAGTTGCGCTCTTGCAAGTGTACACCTACCGAGTTGAACACCTGCAAGTGTACAACTGCGTAGTTGCACACTTTCAAATAGTTAACTTGCAGTCGCACACTTACAAATGTTAAGCAGTTGCAGTAGTTTATCAATGCTCTGTGCGCTGACAGTACGACACGAATAATGCGAATGCTCTAGGGGAATCATGTCTGCGGCCAACGGTCGATGAAACGCCTGACGGGTAATGGGTAGGCAGACCCGGCGTGCAGCCGTGTGTCGTGGCCGCCTACCCTAAGGGGCCCCAGCCACCAGCCAACTTCACCTCGCAACATTTCGTTCCGACGGGGCGTGGTTGGCGCGGTTTAAGCTGGGCTTTTCTCGTGCTCGTCCTCCCATTTATTCGCTGAGGACCTGCAGTTTGGGGAATCCGTGTCGGCTGAACAACCGCTTGGTTGGTTGGCGGTCCCGCCGTGCAGCCGAGGGGCGGGCCGCGGCCGGGGGTCGAACCCATAAAAAAGTAGGTGTAGAACGAGTTGGCGCGAGTTAGGATCAATATTTTTGAGAGTCATACTCAATTTTTCATGAATTTAGCTCGAGTTTTCTATAATTTTCGCGAGTTTTCACGAATTAGACGCGAGTTTGAGCTTGACGTGAGTTTGGGCGCGGACAAGTGTAAAACGAGTTGTCTAGTGGGTGACACCTCTCGCGTGCAGCCATACGTTGTAGTTTCAGCCTATTCGCGCATGTCCACTGCAATAAACATTGTTAAAGAACCGGCCTTAAAAAAAAAAACGGGTGTAAATCTGATGTTTTAGAACAGCCCAACTCCAGACCGTATACGATTTTTCTTCCAATGATGATTTGGTCATGAGCCAATTTTACCCTTTTATTTTTAAAAAAGTATACTCGATTCTCCTTATTTCTTTCGAGCTGCTTGCACCCTCACTGTCCGACACCTCATTCCGTGAGTGCTCACGCCCCTAAACCAAACAAGGAGATGTGCTTGGCTGGTGTCTCAGTGGGGATTACTGGATGGGCGTGCGTACACAGGCGTTCAGGCGCTGCGACGCGCCCCGGAACTCCCATCGTCCCACCCTTTCCGCCCCGCGCACCGCCCACCACCCACCGGCCTGCCCGCCCCTCGGCCCACCCTTTAGCCCACCCCCGCGGCCTTACCCCAGTCCTCCCTCTCCTCGGCCCTCCCACAGCCTTCGGCCGCGTGGGCGAGGCTAGCCTTGGGGTGGCGGGTGAAATGAGGTCACTGGGGCGCCGCGCCCAGAGGGATAGGCCAGCGCCTGGAGCACGGCGGCCGCATGGCGACAGGTGGAGGGAGAGGGGCCATTCGCAAACGTTGTTAAGTTATCAATTTTGTTTTTAATCGAGAGGCTTGGAGTCGGGCTGGGGTCGGGAGAGAGAGAGAGAGAGGGGGGGGGGGGCAAGAGGGAGGGGGAGGGAGTCGACAATATTTCGTCTTCCTCGGCCCTTTTCCCCTCCGGAGAGGTGCCGGAAAGGCACCCTCCACCCTCCGGCCCGGCTCTCCGGGGAGTCCTCTCGTCTCATAGTGGGGCTTATCCATTCTGGGCGCGTATCGCCCCGGGGGCGAAGCTCAAGGGCCGAGAGGGGTGGGGGTTGGGAGGCTGTGTGTGTGTGTGTGTTTTGGGATTTGGGTGGAGGGGTAGAGGGGGTCAGGGCGGGGCGCGGACGGGAGCAAAGCTACTCTGTTGAAAACCATGACTCCCGCCTCTGAACAGGCCAGGTCCTCGTGTTTCTTCTCTCTGCCCCCTTCCCGTGATGGCTGGGAGGGGTGGAGTGGGGGGCAGTTGTCTGCGCTGCCCCGCCCCTTAACCCTAACCCCAAACCGCACAACCGCACACCCCTGCAGCCATGTAAGGACGAGTATCTGACCCTGGGATATCGTCTCTGGGATATTGTCGGACCTCGAGCACCACCGCTCACCCCCTGGGCCAATTTATGGCCAAGTTCAGAGGGGAAACGACGAGGGAGGCGTTTTTCGCGTTTTTCTTGCTTTCGTGTGCTCCCGCTGTGCCGTGGCCCGTGGGGGGCGGTGACGGC